CCGTGACTCATGTCGTGATGGACTGGTAGTAAGTGATAGCCATTAGTGACACTATTGTCTATCAATAGTGTATTGAGTGAACACTGGCCTCGAGTACGGAATCGGACTCAGACTCGGGGGGAACGACACCACCGCCGAGGAAGAGACAGAGACAGTCAGCGCACTCAGTGATCATCAGCACGTCATCAGCGGTGAGCCAATCGCCAGGCGAGTCGTTATCCCATTCGAGTCAGAGTTCATCGCATTTGCCATCAATCGCTTCAATCACTGCTACCATGCAATCCATGGCTAACGGATCCAATGAAGACAACCAAACCAATGCGCCCATCGATGGCGCCAATAAGGACTCAGCGCAGCACTACTCCAACGGATCCAATGGTTCCAATGGATCCGCTTCTAACGGACACTCTTTGAATGGAGTGAACGCTGAGCTCAACGACACCAATGAGACCAATGGTGATGATAGTGACCACCAATTGGTGTACATTAAGTCCAAAACAGATCAGGACATCATTCGACTCATTGGGCAACACTTGCGAGTTCTTGGCCTCAAGTAAGTGCTCAACACTTGTGTCCCGAACTTACCATTTCTTACGTCATAACTCCCTCTCTTTGTCTCGATGTCCATCAGTCGTACTGTGGATCAACTGATTCAAGAGTCGGGCTGTCGTTTAGATCATCCATCGGCAGCAAAGTTTCAGACATATGTCATGAATGGCGAGTGGGCTCTGGTATGCAGTGAAAGACATGTTTGTTTGAATGGACACTAATTAATGGTGTGTTTGTTGTCCTGTAGGCCGAGTCAGCCCTCTATGAACTCAACCCATTGCTCGAGTCGTCCAAAGCGATGACCGTAAGTGCAGACCAATAGTCACCAGAAATGGTATCTAATGAATGGTATTGTTGTGCAGAAAATGAAGTTCTTATTGTTGGAGCAAAAGTATATGGAGTGCATTGAGGAACAGAAACCCATGGAAGCCATCAGTTGTCTTCGCAATGAGTTAACACCTCTTAAGTATAACACCGCACGTGTCCATCAACTCAGCCGGTAATCTATTATTACATTACTCTCTCTTGTCTCCATGCATATGATGCGACCAATCATTCAATTGAATGACATTTTCATTGTTTTCCTCTTTTAACGAAACCATAATTTCCTTAATGTTTAACCAGTAATTAGTTGCAAAAAGACTCATAAAATGATTTATAAAGTGTTTTACAATGAATTGTGAATTCAGTGAAAGTTTTGTCTCAATCATAAGACATACGTTTTGTTTATTTGTGCGCTTTCTTTGCTATCATTAGCTGTAATTAACAGACAATCATATGATTTCAGTTTATTTTGACTTAATGCGATGAATGAATAGCTATGAACTCCTAACTGATTATATAATATACACACAAAGAGTGTAATATTCAGACATTTTTATACAATATTATACCGTAATCTGCAAATTACTGAATGTCTACCAAAATATACTCTATTATAGGATAGATTTCTTGAATTGTTTTCTAACAATAAGACCCAGATGAATATTCACAAATAAAAGGCACTATAAATGTGCACAATACTTGCATCATACAGTAGTACAATACTGTATCTATGAATATCATATTACTAGATGTGCCCAATTTGTGTACATAAATTTGATTGGGTTTAAATTAATTGGAAACAATATCATTATGATATGGCCGTCATTTTATGAACAGATGAATGTGTTGAGTAAATTGCAAAACCAATTGTATGGTTGTGAACCATATTTTCAAGCAAAATGCATACAAATGTAATTCCATGACATGCTACCATTTCCTGATTTCACTTCAATTTTTAATTTAATCTATTTGTGTATAAATAGAATATATTGCTATAATTGTACAGTAGGTGCAGCACATTTAGAGTTAGAAGTTTGATCTAACCTTACCTACACTTTTATTACTGTAACTCAGCAATGCCGTCGGGTGCCAAGTGTCAAACATTTAGTATTTACCGTACTTGTTAGCCTACACTGCACTGACACTCATTCAAATATACTCAGTTATATGAATACTGATTGTTAATTAAATGTATTAATACTCATGACAACTATGAACTGTTTGGCACGAATGAAGACATGTAATAATTGATATATTGATTGTTTTGATGGTTAGGTACATAATGTGTAACTCTTGCGATGAGCTGAAAAAGATATCGAGTTGGGAGGGAAAGGGATTGCCCTCAAGGATCAAACTGATGGAGAAATTGCAAAGTATTTATGAATATAGACATTGTATTGGTACTGTTTTATTGAGACATTTGTATGAATGTATGAAATGAAGGTTTCCTACCGCCGACTGTAATGCTTCCGCCGCGAAGATTACGAGCCCTTCTGTGCCAAGCGGTTGACCTCCAGAAGGATCGCTGTCCTTATCATAACTTCACAGTTGACGCGGGACTCGATTCCGTGAACTTATTGGTTGACCACATCTGCAGTCGAGAGGACTTCCCGAGTGAGACCATTCAGATTCTCACAGATCATTGCGACGAAGTGTGGTTCTGTCGCTTCTCCAATGACGGCACAAAGTTGGCCACCGGTTCCAAAGACAGCACTCTTATGATATGGGATGTCGACCCCGTATGTCATTCGTTGCTATTTACTCTGCAGTGCTTTCATTGAGTATTTCTACCTATTTTCAGGACACCTTAAGACTAAAACATAAGCATACGTTTGAGGGGCACTCGTATGGTGTGTCATACCTGGCCTGGAGTCCAGACGATAACTATTTGATCGCTTGTGGACCCGACGACTGCTCAGACCTTTGGGTTTGGAACGTTCAGGTATTGCACCAAATATTGATAACATGTTCACATTGCTTACAAACTGAACCCTTTGTTTGAATAGTCGGGGGAATTGCGGGTAAAAGTGAGTCATTCGCCTGAAGACAGTCTGACGACGTGTTCGTGGCATAAGGACGGCAAGAAGTTTGTGACGGGAGGCCAAAGGGGGCAGTTCTACCAATGCGTTAGCACCCATACATGCGGTCACATCTCTGTCTGTATTAATGCGCCTATAATTGTGTTAGGATTTGGACGGCAATGTGATCGACACGTGGGAAGGCGTGAGAGTCCAATGCCTGTGCTTTCGAAAAGACGGCAAAACAGTGTTGGCGGCCGACACTCACCAACGAATTCGTGGCTATAATTTCGAAGAGCTGTCCGATTTCAATGTGTAAGCAATGCTTGGATTGAGTGGTTTTGTGGTGTAAATGTTGATTCATTGCATTGATTGCAGTATAAGAGAAGACAACTCTATAATGTCGTTCACATGCGACGATTCGGGCCGTTTGGCGCTCATAAACGTTGCCTCACAGGGCGTCCATTTGTGGGACTTGGAGGACAAGATATTGTTGAGAAAATTTCAAGGCGTAACTCAAGGCTATTATACAATCCATTCGTGTTTTGGTGGCGTGAATCAAGTTTTTGTCGCCAGTGGTAGTGAAGGTATGGCTAATGAGTTGGCACTGTATGGCAATGATTGATGACATGTGTTTCCTCTGGTCTGACAGACAATAAGATCTACATTTGGCACCTGAAGCGAGAGAAGCCCATAAGTGTGTTGACGGGTCACTCCCGGACAGTGAACTGTGTCTCGTGGAACCCCCGGTACCCACAGCTGATCGCCAGTGCCTCAGACGATGCCACAGTGAGAATATGGGGGCCGACGCCTGACAGACCACAATCAGCGGCCACTGTGTCGATGGCGTCGTCGCCTAATCTGTTAACCACGCGAACCATGGATTCAAACCATTCGAGTCCCAGTACTTCAACTAATGTTGTGAAACCATAATCGAGTGCCTAATCAGACAATTCTTCATCAAACCATTGCTTCATTTCTNCCTGACAGACCACAATCAGCGGCCACTGTGTCGATGGCGTCGTCGCCTAATCTGTTAACCACGCGAACCATGGATTCAAACCATTCGAGTCCCAGTACTTCAACTAATGTTGTGAAACCATAATCGAGTGCCTAATCAGACAATTCTTCATCAAACCATTGCTTCATTTCTATTCATCACATCTTAACAACAAACAAGTGATCAGTTTATTACGAGACAAACAAAAACAAATTCAATTATGAGTTCCTCTCAAATGGATGGAAGAGTTGTTGAGTTATGCATACGATATGAAATGTATTGACAAACCTTTGAAAGAACAGTTAGAACTGCTTTTCTGAACGAATCCACGTTTGGACGACTATTACACCCGAAGTTCAGTTGTTATACGAATAAATATAAATGTGTTGTAATTGTAATCATGAAAACGATTGAATTTAAGTAATTAATGAATGGACGTTTAATTGCCTTTAATCGCATGTTGCGTTTAAACACATGAAATGTAATCGATTTTTTGTTTGCAATAAGATTTATGTTTGCAATGTTCACGCATTTATTTGCCATTATTTCTAACAATTGATTCATTTTTGTATTTGTTGTCAAAATGATTAACCGATTGATTTAAGTTAAACAACGATCAGCCACTGTATCTATACCTCACTTATGAGAAATGCAAATATTTGATCATTTATTTAAATTATGCAATCATTGCGATTAACACATAATGATTGTTACGAGAGAAGGCAACAGATTGTTATATTTATTTATGACTCAAATTACGACTTTATTTGATTTTCTTTCAATCATTTCCAACTCAATTGTGTTTTTAGTTCAAAATACGATTTGATTTAACATTGAATGAAATTTTATTTAAATATTTCAAATAATTTGTCAAATTATGATAACAATTAGAAAATGTGGGCCAACGGCAGCGGGAATTACATGTTATGTTAGCGTATAATCCAAAATCTCAAAAAACAGTTATATTTACTATTATTTATATATATTATTTAATGTCATTTGTTTTCAAAACTAACATTTTTCATGATTTTGTTTTGCATTCAAATTCATTATACAATTTTCAGTTAAAAAGAGAATCAAATATTAATTTAATTGATATTTTAGTTGTAATATAATTTATGTTTTAATTTTCAAAGCAAATATGAATAGAATTTAAAATTGTTTTTCAAATCGAAAGTAATATTGAGAAAGAAATCAGAAAATCTTGAAAATCGTTAGTTTTTAGAGTCGATTGAGTGATTGATATGATTTGTTAAAAAACTTTCTGTTTTTATATATAAGACTCGATCACTGATTGTAAAGATATATAAATATATTTACAGAGAAATGAATTCAATTAGAAATCCACGAAAATTATAAACAATTTCTTTTATTTTTGTGGACTTTATCATTTGTGTTATTATTATTATATAATTATTTAATTACATTTCAATAATGTTATAATTTGTCAATAATTATATTAACTGTGCTGTACATTACAATTGAGACAAATTCAGTGCTAATCAAATGTTTTCATTCATTTAAAACAAGTTTTGTTAAAATTATTATTGTTTTTCAGTTCAAATTAATATATAATTTGAATGAACATTCAATTTATTACTTGTATTTTATTTCTCATTTTTATTAATTATTTCAATAATGAGTTATAGAATGGAAATAAGAAAATTCAATCCTTAAAAGTTATGGTCATTTCAAAACAATTTAATACCACTGTATTCATAGCTATAGTCCATATATATGACTAGTTTTCAAGTTATCTGTCAAATATTCATCAATTCTTATATAATTTTAAAATCTATTAAAACAATAAAATAAATATAATTTGAAATAATCATAAACTTTATAAATAAAAACATTTAATTGCAAACAAAATTGACTCTTAATTATCATCCAGTGATGCAGACTCTCAACAGTACTACAGCTCTAATGATGGATTGAACTGCACTTCAGTTGGTCTTCAAAATGATTGAAACAATTATTGAAACAATTCTTAAGAATTTAAGCCTATTTTAAGTATTTTCAACTTTTCATTGATATTCAATTTGGGGGCTATATTGGGGGCTATAGTTTGGCCGAGTTTCCCGGAGAGTGCACTTTTACATCACTGATTGATAACATAATTAACATTATTATTGAACACAAAATATAATTGCATTTTAAACAGTTTAAACAACTGTTCACATAATTGCAGTCATAAGTCAAGTGTAAAATTTAATACATTATTTGTCGTAAGCATTCATATTAAATGTGATTTTAAGCATTGAATGAGTCGTTGATTTAATCTGATTAACAATATTTGTTATGATATTAATTGATATTCGTTTGTATTTCAAGTCTTTTTTATATAATTGAATAATTATTTAAAGATTTTAAACCAAATCTGATCTCAAATTCAATCACAATTAGAATTATATAATTTATATATATATATATTTATATCAATAATAATATATTTTACAACTTTATGTATATTGAGATAAGAATAAGGCTTATGAGAGAAAGTCTTCATTTGATTTATAGTATATTTAAATACAATTTGAATACAAATCTTAATATCGATTGCATGTCTTCTAAATGTTTGCAAATTTCAATCCATATGTCGGTCATTATTTTGGGTGAAAATATTTTCTCGTTTTGTCACTTTAGTTAGATTTTCATTCATATATTACTTTTAGAAAATATTGAAACATGCTTTTGAAACAATGTTTTGTAAACTAAGGGAAGTAATTATGCCTTCAATCGGTTGTGCTTTCGCTCGACGTTTGTCTTCAATTGTAAAGTTTATAACAATAAATATACTAAAAGCCAACAAATATATCAATACATTAGTGACCAAACCATCTCATGAGTTTCAAAGGCAATCATTTGGGGCCAAAACACAGTTAATTCACATATTGTTTGTCTGACTCTCATATCATATTAATTGAATTTGTTTTCAATAACCAATTGTCCGAAAAATTTCTTATATTAAAAAAGTGACACCAAATGGAAATCGCATTCAAGGGATTGGGAATTAAGTGATTGATTAAGAGCTTATATTAAATGGAAAAATACAAGATTTTTAGCGATAATTAGAAATACAATTATTTTATGGAATCGATAAATGATGAACAAAAAACTTGTTAACAAAACCTTTGCCTTAAATTTAAATCCAATATTTCTCTCAGAGTTTCAGTTGTTTTTTGGCCAAACGAACACAAAATGCAATCCAAAAGATAATTTAATGGTATAAATGATGTTCTCATTGATTGATGCAAAATATTAACACAAAGTCTTTGTATAAGAAGAGTGAACAGAGACTGTCCGCCCAGACCTAGACGTCGACTACCATTTTCTTATGAATATCAGTATTTCCTACAACCTATGGAACCAAAAAACAAAGCAATTTAACTATAATTAGCACTAATATTAAATTCAATTTCAATATATTAGTCACTATTTAGAGATTGACACTATTTTTGATGTAATTCTTATAAAAAGGACTATTTTGTCGGCATTTCGTATACATATGATAGGAGGGTTGCCAGCATTTCAACCAAATAAGGGGACCCATGGGTTGCAAAGGAATGTGATTCTACTTAACAATTGTCACTATTCTTATCAAATGCTCTAAAGTACACCATAATTGATATACTATCCCAACAGTCTCAGCCCTCAACTGCAATAAAGATTTGCGTAATTATTAGTACAGTATTTGAAAACAGATGTCAACTATCTTTGAATTTGTTTTAATATTTATTGCTTTTAACAAAATTTTCGAAACAATTAACGCATAGAAATATTTAACAAGTTTTGGATTAACTTTTATTTGAGAGATAATTACATCAATTTTAATATTTGTTAATGAAGTCTAAGAGTAAAGACATTTTCAAAACAGAGCCCGGACTTTATCGGAAAGTTATATATATTTTAATAAACAAAACAAATTCTAAACAAAACTAAAATTATAAGTAAAACTAAAATCATGACATTTCATTCAGCGCACAAATTAGTTACTTGAAAATTAAATATAAATCAAGATTTCCAAACTTAACAAAACTGACTAAAAGTTTTATAAATATATAAATAACTATTGAAAAATGTAGTCTAAATCTAACCTATCAATTGTCAGTTGATTATTGAATTATTGAATTATGAGAACAATTCACTTGACGTTATGAGACAATATAAATCACATTTGTTTTCAGTTAGACATTAATTCCAATAAAATCGTGGCTCTAATTAGTTATAATACTATAATTATTGTAATATAAATATAAAGTATTGCTGAAACAATACATTCAAAGTACGACATAATTTGATAATAATGTTAAATATATAATAAATACGGTATAAAACTAAAAGTTACGGCAATATTACATTCAAAGCAATCTCTATTTTAACTCAATTTTATTCCTTTCAATACTTTCTAAATTGAAACATAATTTGATAATAATGTTAAATATATAATAAATACGGTATAAAACTAAAAGTTACGGCAATATTACATTCAAAGCAATCTCTATTTTAACTCAATTTTATTCCTTTCAATACTTTCTAAATTGAATTTTTTTGGCATATTTTAGGGCAACTTTAATAAGCAATTGAGGGGAAAGACATGTGACTAGACTAGTGATAAATCGGAAAATCATTTTTGGAAACACCTTTACTGCCATTCCTCAGGATCTTACTTATGAGGCGACAGAAAAGCAAACAAAACTTTGGACAATAGACCCGTAAAAGGAGTAATTCAGTCATCGTTACGTCAATTATCATAAAATACTGAGAATTAGTAATAAAATTGACTTAAAATTAGATTTTAGTTTTCAAATTGTGTTCGGAATCTAATTTGAAAGCATTTCCAACAAAAACATTGACAAAACTTACGGAACAAAACTCTTCGAAAGAGATCTTTCCGTCTTCGTCTTTGTCCGCAAAAACGATCGTTTTGTCGACGATTTGCTGCAATTGTGTGTCTTTCAGATTGTTGCCGACCATCATCTTCAGCACTTGGAACAGCTCTCCGTTCGATATGAAGCCATCGTTGTCCATGTCGTATATCCGGAACGCGACTATCCGTACAGACATTCAGATCAGTTAATCCGTTAATCATTTAATCATTGGATCAGTTAATCCGTGAGCAACACATCTTATATCACTTACACCTAAGCTTTGATTCTTTGTCGCCCTTAACACTGAATTGAGACACTCCTTGGATGAACTCTAAACACATACCACACGTGAGATAATCATCACTCAGACCACTCGGACATCACTACCTTTGAAGTCGACCTCTCCGTTGCGGTCGGTGTCGAAGAACAGCTAGTGTGCGACCTGGTCTCCCAAGACAACGTCGAGACCATTTCTGTACTTGAGTAGCTGCCTTTCCCTCGGTGACAACAGCTCCAGATCAAACGCCTTGGCGAAGGGGTTGGCGAACTAGAGATCGGCATCGACTGCAACCACAACCACACATGCAATGAGACAATGTCTCCACAATTGTCTTAAGACTATCTCAAAATGGACTCACAGTTAGAGCACATCTCCATCGGAAGCGACGCCTCGTTTCCCTAATTCACAAGAAATTCAATGCATTTGAGGATCAGTTGAGGAAAAGTAGTAAACATTTCATGAAATATAATTTTATACCATTTTGTCGATTATTTCCTATTAATTGACACAATAATCACAATAAATATATCAAATCACTTGTATTTCGCCACCACTTTCAGTATATAATTAGCAAATGAAATGAGATTTTAATGATTTGACGGTTTATACAAATGAATGCAAAATCCGTTTAATTAAACACAAACCAAATCACATTAATTATGATTACAATGACTGATACTCTATGAGTGTTACTGTTATTACAAACACTAATGCATACGAAAGCAACACTGAATGCAAACTGAATGCACAGTGAATGCAAGCATACATTGATTCACTCAATCCTACACTCAATACAAACACACTGACCGTACACGAAACTACACTATACAACACTACAACACTTCACTGTATAGCTCACTGTAGCGATGTATTCATGTTACAGTAGTTGCTATATATTATAGACACCACAACTACCACAACCACACACACCCACCCCTACCCCCACACACCTCCCCGTCCACACACACCCGACCCAACCACTCGTCCAATGTCTACTGTCATCGCTAACTATATTGCCTTTCATTTGCAAAACTTTAATTGCTTTCAATTTGCAAATAATGATAGCATTTATCATGCATTTCGTGTCATTCCCACCTCTAGTCGTACTGCAGTCAGACCATCATTACAGACATACAGTTCCCTCTATTTATGCCTCCCCTCAACATTGCTATTGTCGGGCCACTCGTA